TTGTAAAAGTTTGAACTGATCTTAAGGCCGGCTTTCACTGTGCGATTGTTTTTTTTATAATCCTGAATGATTGTAGCATGTCAGACTGCTCGAACATGGCTCCCATGCCACACTGTAAAATCTCAGCTGTCATAAAGTCAGACTGAACGACAATGAAAATGCACCAAACATGAAAGAAAATGCCCCTGGAGTTTGACGTCATCCACCCGTGACACTTTCACTATCCCACTATCCCCGCAATCTGTAGCTGCAATTTTGCACACGGCGTGTCTCAATAATAAAACCAGACTGAAAAAGACTCTTTGACATTTTCACACGGTCATTTGAATTGTCGCATAGATTGTGACATCAAATTCTGAGGTCCTATTGGTTTTCAGATTGACACTCATCACAGCTGTTGTCACAAAAAAAAACTGATCGCAACGGGCTTTAAGCATCTGTCACTGAACATGTCAAACCAACGATCAAAGATCATGGATTTCAAGAATCTTTTAGGATTTCCCATTGTCTCAGATGACAAAATTGTGGCTGAAGTCTTAGTGTGAGCAGGGCTTTATGAACTGAATTGTCTATACTCAAAACAAAAAAGCAATAATTTCAAAATTGTAAGGTGATTATATAGACCAGGGATGTCCAAACTTGGTCCTGGAGGGCCGGTGTCCAGCTAAGTTTAGCTTAACTTGCTAAAACACACCTGCCAGGAAGTTTCTAGTATATCTAGTAAGAGCTTGATTAGCTGGTTCAGGTGTGTTTGATTTGGGTTGGAGCTAAACCCTCAAGGACACCAGCCCTCTAGGACCGAGTTTGGACAACCCTACTATAGGCCTAAATTTATGATTTTACATAAATAAGCATTCCAAAACTTAATGGTTTCCCTTTCTTTGCTTAGAAAATTAACATCCAACTAGACCGTTGTATAAAAACAATAGGTTAAATAACAAAATTAAACCGAATACAATCTTACATCAACAACGAATGGCAAGCAACGCGTTGATAATAACAAATAATCATATTAGATTACAAACAACCCAACGAGTTGCTTAGCATGTGTGCATCGCTGCTATTATATTTACACATTTAATACTTTGCCTGAGGCGATTTAAACCAAAATACACAATGATACTCTATCAAACATATCTGATAAGGGATATGGTTACTTACAGAGTTATTAGCGCACAGCAATACCACACAAAGAAAGGATGGATGAATAAACAATGTGAGATAAGCTACGTTATAGTGCACTGGACACGTCTGAACAAGGTCGACCAACGCATGCGCAAGGCAGGCAGGTCCGTACAATTACGTAATCTGATATTGGCCTAATTTTGATTTCGGACCAATAACAAAATAAAATTTATCAGCGATAAAGATATGGACGCCGATATATTGTGCATCCCTAGTTAAATTACTTACATCAATGTATTTATTATAATATAATTTATTTTTTAACAAATAAAACCACATCATTCTATGCAATCTAGCAGGTAGATTGAAAAACTCACGGTAAGTTGTCCAGCTACTCCGAAATCAGCTAGTTTAGCATGACCTTCAGTGTTGAGGAGAATATTCCCGGCTTTGATGTCCCTGTGGATTTTCCTCATAAAATGGAGATATTCCAGACCTTTCAGTGTGGATTTGAGGACCGTGGCAATCTCATCCTCAGTAAGCTAGTCAAGCAAATAAAAGTCTCTGTTATGAAGCTGTATTGATCCATCAATATCTCTTAGATATAATAATCTAACTTAAATTACACTGATGATGCTATATAGTGCATTCATAGTATTTTTATTCACCGTTTTGTTGCGCAGTCTAATAATATCAGACACAGATCCAGCGCCACAGTACTCCATCACAATCCACAGATCTGTGTTTTTGAAATAGCTGCCATAGTACTTCACCACATATGGGCTGTTAAAACACAATGAGGAATGAAAATGTTGTTAAGTTCTTCACACACATCCAAATTTACATTAATAATAAATATATAAACTAAGTATGTTGTTTTACCTGTCACATTGCTGCATTATGGAGATCTCCTTGATTATCTCTTGCAGGTCTGATTCGACAGGAACCTGTTTAATGGCCACAACTTGGCCTGATTCCTTGTGAATGGCTTTAAAAACACTTCCATATGATCTGAAGCAAAGTGCATTTGAAATGTAGAAGTGTCAAACAAAACATAAGCATTTATATTCACTACCTATGTTGACAAATATTATGCTACCCACCCTTCTCCAAGCTTTTCAAGAACATCAAATACTTCCTCTGGCTGCTTGGTAAGACTGTCTTCACTGAGTTTCTTCAGCTTACTGTTGATCGAAACAGTCGTAAAGTTACTTTATTAAATGTAAAAAACATCATTGGATCCCACACTAGCAGTTATAACGTAAAACTAGAATCTACAATATAACAAAACTGCATGAAGTCAGACTGCGTTTAAGTATTGATCATGTAGTTATAAATACGAACATCTAAGTTAAATATAAACCAAACGATCTTTTATAGTTCGGTCGGCGATCTGAAGTGTCAGTTTCGTTGCTCAGATGAGGCCTGTAAATATTAGCTTAGCTGTTAACTGGTTAGCCGAGATAGTGACTTACTTTTTGGGCACCGAATGCTCCATTCTTGTTATTCAGATAAAAAGATAATTTGTGAAAAAATGTAAAAGTTTGTTTGCTCAAAACCTAAGGGAAAAAGCAATAACGCATGTTTTGTTTGGAGTTTAAGGAAGCACTGCTATGTCTTTCCGTGCCGCTGCTAACAACGATGTGAAGCCAGCTGACGTGTGTAATTTTCCATGAAAAACGACTCGTCAAAGTAAAAGTCCTACAAACGTAATATTTTACAGCATGAAATACTACAATTTTGCTATTTATAAAAGTGTTGAACTTTCACTCGTTTGACGACGAGCTTGCAAGCGGGAATTGAGTGTATCTTTGAACGGAGTTTGTTTGTTTTGTTTAAGAACTATAAAAATATACAAACAAACTATCTGAGAAATACTTGCATACGTCCTCTCAGTTTTATCCTCTTAATATTATCTTCTTTTTTATTGACAAGCAGACATCGGCCTGTATAAGATTCCGACGGTATGATAACCGTGGATGAAAATATCATGGTTACACGGTACCACAGTATTGTGATTACTGCTCTAAAATATATTCTCTTCAAATGTCTGGGTAAAAGAAAAAAAACTTTTTTCCCTTTTGAACACAAAATATTTTATTTTGAGAAACATTTAAAATATTTCGAAAAAGTAATCTTTGACTTCTGCTGTCTTCATTTGTTTAAAAAAAATAACAGATTTATTAACCATTTAAATGGCAAATCTTCTGCATTGAGATATGTTGTTCTAAAAAAAAAAAAAAAAAAGTCTAACACATACCGTAGGAACGGTTTTACAGAAAATTTAGCTGGTTTTAAAACCTTGACTTTTCCAAACCGCAGTATACTTCGAAAACGGTTTTCGTCACATGCCTATCGACAAGTATAAACAACATAACACTAGGCATGGGGTGATAACTAATTTTTGAAAAGTCAAGGTTTTAAAACCACCAAAGTTTCCTGTTACACCGTTTCTAAGGTATATGTAAGATTTAACTTTATTTTTTAGTTTTTTTCATGTTTTTGACAACTATTTTTTTTTTTAGGGCAACGATATCTTCAGCAGAAAATGAACTTCTACAACAAAAGCTAGTGGTCCAAAATACTTTAAATATTTCTTAAAATAAAATATATTGTGTTCAATGGGGGAAAAGTTGTTTTTTACCCAGACATTTATAAAATAACTTATTTTGGCGCAGTAATCACAATACCGTGATACCGGGAAACCGTGAAACCATGGTGTTTTTTATCCAAGGTTATCATACCGTCAGAATCTTATACCAGCCCATGTCTACATCACACTTACACTGAGTTTCTTCATTCAATTCATCTTTAATTATATAGAGCTTTTTGAAATGTAGATTGTGTTAAAACAGCGTAACATAGATAAGGGAAAGAGAATAAAAAGGCATGTTTCAGACTATGGAACATTCCAGGATATCAACAGACAGGTGAGTACTGAATGTGTAGTTCCAGTTAAATTAAAACTGATTCAGCTCAGTTATAAACACAAACTTTGGGATAAACCAGGCTTAGCCGAGGTGACCAGTTTTCCTCTGACCAAATGTAAAAGGGCAAAGCTGCATTCCATGCGCAGCTATTGTGGAGAGCGTGCAGGTCAATGTTTAGGTGTTCATACTAGCCGACGGGATCAATGCAGAGATTCGTCTGCCACTGCAGGAACCTTGCACTCTTGACTCATCAATGACCACAACCATCTGCACCAAATACAGCCTGGATCCATGATTATGTGAACCTTGGGATAAGAAGAAACAGACAGACATGAGCATGAATATGTCTTTTAGGGAAGTATTTCCAGCGCCACTTGCCCTAATGAATGCAGCCTAACAATCCTTTTAGAAGATTAGGATTTTAAATGAATGCATTCATATTTTCGAGTGCAAAGAGTCTTGGTAGTCTAGATTTAAACGGAAAGGATTATGCACAAAACTTACTGTATTCATTTGAGCACAGATGATGCAGTTCTTGCATCGGCCAGCAGAGGGAGTACAGTGTGGATAATATTGTGTCCCTCGTGGCCCCAGGCTGTTGTCAGGACTGCAAGAAACCAGCCAATCTCTGGCAAGGTCCTGCATGGGGTCGAAGCGCTGCCTAGCAACTGATTATTGGGTTATGGGCTCTTTCACCCCATTATATCGGCATCAGGGGGACAGTGAGGAGAAACAACGGTTGAGTTTGTGTTTTTATCTATCTGTCCATTCATCCATCCATCCGTCCGTTCGACTGTGCCTGTCTATCTATCTATCTATCTATCTATCTATCTATCTATCTATCTATCTATCTATCTATCTATCTATCTATCTATCTATCTATCTATCTATCTATCTATCTATCTATCTATCTATCTATCTATCTATCTATCTATCTATCTATCTGGGCTGCTTTCTACAGGACAAACTGTATGTGGACTGGGAAGGACAGCTGTCAGGGAAACCCATTACTCATTGGCTGAAAGCTGCTGATCCTATCAGAATATGTAATATTGCGTTCTGTTGACTGAGAGCACATGCGGATTTCCGATAGCATGATACAGAGGAAAGGGGAGGAGGACAGTATGTGCATGAGCGAGGGATAAATGCGGAGGGAAAGAGAGTGAGATAGAGAGAAGGGGTTAGATATCATCCGCGTCACAGCAGCAGATTGCAGGCAGAGCAGAGAGGATATAGACAACCAGAGCACTCAGTCATTAGACGCTGAAGCAGGAATAGGGCATTGGGGAAATACACCGGGTGTGTGTGCATGAGAGCAGAGCTAACAGTACAGCGTGAAGCAGCTTTGGATCACAGTGTGCCATTGATGATAAGAGTTGGGAAGAATGAGTCTTGACCCTGTTCAGGTCATGAAGGGGCAAGAGCCTATGCCCAACACTTGCCCATCGGCCTCAAACGGGGATACCAAAGCATCCTGGGAGGACAGCAACAAGGATATGCTTGAAAATGTTGGTTCCAAGAAGCCCAAATCAGTAAGTGATGTTCTCCATCAGTTTGCATTTCATCTGTGATGCCATTTTCCTATTGCCCTTGTCCTTTTTATTGGCAATTTCAGACCTTTGATGGTGTGATTTGCTTATACAGTAGTCCACGTGTATGTGTGTGTTGATTCACTTTTCCCACTCTGACACCAGGATTTTGTCAAAGCGTGGTGTAATTATGTGAAATATGATTATAAGTAGCTGTTGGCTTTCATGTTGTGATGCCTGGTTGTGGTGTCCATGTTTATAAGCCAGAAACAGAGCAGGTTTCATGGGAAAGGAGGGGCTGATGGCATTATTAGGTAACAGTCCTAATGTAAGGAGATAATGCCATCTGAGGTGCAGCAGGTGCAGATCAATTTAAGTCGTCCACTGCTTATTTTGACTTCTACTAACACCGCCATAAAGATATGGAAATACCATCTGTAATATGCAGTGGGTTATCAAAGTAATGACACTGCTTCCAAAGAAGTTTTACCACAGGTTTTAGTGCATTAGAAAACTTTTACATGCACTTTGACAGGCTCCTTTAGCGTGTGCAACAGGCAGCTGGTCAACACCATGTGTATAATTCCTCTCTCTGCGGTAGCCTCTATACTTACTCTAAGCGTCACTGGCCTTTTCCAGATCTATTAATAACCCGCAATGCCGTTCTCCTCTTTGTTATCCTCTTGTATTCTCCCATTTCCAACACTTGCACTGCTTGCCCCAGACTGACCCAGCAGTAAATCATGGCTCAGGTTCGCTGCAGCGTGTAGTTAGTGGGTATATAAAGTCATCACCCAAAAATTGTCACTTTCACCTGTGACCTACACTGAAATTCTAATGTGTCAGTATGTTAAAATATTACGCTGTTAACAATCTACAGTAACTTACTGGCAGCAGTTCGCTAGTAACTTACTGTAAATCAAATACAGCAAAAATACTGTACATTTACAACACTATTTATCTTGCTGTATATGCATGTACAGTATCACACTCTATATGTTTACTGACAACTAATTTCCCAATTATTTAACATAAATTATGTTTCTTGAGGATTAAATCAACATTTTAAAATGATTTCTGAAGGATCATGTGACACTGATGCTGGAGTAATAATATAGAATATTCAATTTCACCTTCACAAGAATAAATGAAAATATATTATAAATGATTAAATTTTCAACTTTGCATCTACACTACCTGACATTAGTCTTGTTGCCTATCCTGGTTTTAGGAACAAATAATAATAACTTCAGAAGTGGCTTATATGAAAGACAAATGTTTCTAGATTAAACTTATTTTACCAAAATAAAATATGATCGTGCCTTGATTTTTAAATATTTAATTCAGACAGTAAGGTCTGACTTTGTCTAGACAAAGGTCTTGTCACTTAACAGAAATGATATACAGTATAGAATATAAAGTCATGGTGCAGTGAAAAAATAATTAATAATATGTCTGACTCCCATGAGCTTGGAGGACTGCATCCATACATCTCTGCAATGACTCAAATAACTTATTAATAAAGTCATCTGGAATGCCAAAGTAAGCCTTCTTGCAGGACTCCCTTCATCAAGATTCTTTGGATTCATCTTCAATGCCTCCTTCTTCATCTTACCCCAGACATGCTCATTAATGTTCATGTGACTGGGCTGGCCAATCCTTAACCTTGTTTGCTTTCAGGAACTTTGATTTGAAGGCTGAAGTATGAGGAGTGCTATCCTGCTGAAGAATTTGCCCTCTCCTGTAGTTTGTAATGTAATGGGCAGCACAAATGTCTTGATACCTCAGGGTGTTAATGTTGCCATCCATCTCTCGCACACCCCGGTTATTTCTGTGAGAATCTTGGGTCTATGTGGGTTCCAATAGGTCTTCTGCAGTATGTGTGATGATTGGGATGCAGTTCAACAGATGATTCATCAGAAAAATCTACCTTCTTACTAGTCAAAAATACTAGTCAAGTTAGTATTTGTTGCTCTTACTACTGGGATTAATGACAAGACTTCAGTCAGGTAGTGTATACTTTCCTTCAACATCAAAGCCAGGACCAAAATCTATCCATCATCAAAATCTCTACAATGATTGTAGATGTTCTATCAGTGATATCCAAAGTCACAAATTAATCAAACAATTTATTTTCCTCTCATTTTAGGAGATATAAGGCAATAACACAACAGAGGAATGGTGCCTTTCTATATCCACTACTTACAGAAATTGGGGAACAATGTACAAGGGGGCAATCAACATCATAAGTAAAGGCTGCATTGTAAATGAGTGCAAAGTTTTTTTGTTTCCACTTAATTGGCGAAAAGGGAAAGAAAGCAGTTTGTTAGTTTATTTAGTAGGAGATTGTTTTCTAAGGAGAGCTGATACGGGCTATGCTCAGTCTTGAATCTCTGTGGTCTGTAACTGTATCTGTGCCAGTATAATTAAACGTCTCTATATCAAGAGTTTGAACCATGAATAACATCACATACTACTGACCAAGCATTTGGGGAGCTTTTTCAAGCACACAGTTTATATAACACACGGACAGCTAAAACCTTCTATATGAACTTATTACAAAGTGCAAAAAATCACATCTTAAATCTTAGTGTAACAGGCCAATGTTCACACCTGGTATTAAGATGCAGTTTGGTTGATTTGATTTTGATCATAAGTATTTACGAGGACAAGAAATATTTATTTACACATGGTGTTTCTTTTTTTGTCACCTTTTGTCAAATTTCTACCATTTTCTTATAGCAAATCAAACAAAACATTTAAAAAATTTTCATATTTCATATTATTGATAGTATATTGTTAAACATGCATATTTAATTTATTTTTTGGCAGATTTTTAGACTATAAACATGCCTGATTATTGTTCTTATTAGCAAAATTGTGTTTACAGTATTGTATTCTAACACTCTTCATCTTTAAATTAGAGATACACAGAATCTAAGCTTTTTAAAATTGTACTTATTTTCTAAGGTTATTTAAAAGTTTTTGAGTTTTTTTTTTCTTAGATAAATTTAAAAAAAAATATATATTTATGTATAATTTTCACCTTTAATTGATGGGACAGTAGAAAGTATACGCAGGAAAGGGTGGGTCGCCGTGAGCACCATAGTGCCATGTGTCAATATACTAACTAGATGCCATTGGCGCTGACATCTTAGATTGTTTTAATTGGCTATGTGTATTTTGTATTTTTGTAAACTTATTAAATAATAATAATTGTTATTACTACTACTACTACTACTACTACTATACTCAAAAAATAATTTGTTGAATAAACATGATTTAATCGTAGCACCCATTGTGCATCTAAACAAATTAAGTAAACTGTAAATGTGTAAATCAAACATGGCTTTAATAGGTCTGTGTAACTTCTTTGCAGCTAATTTAATTATAATATTTATGTTGTGCTTATCTGTTTGAATTGATTCTTATTCACTCAATGTCAGCAAAGCACTTTACTCAACATATTTGATTGATATTGATATTGTTTACATTTTTGATAATGTATTTAATAAAATACCAATAACAAAAAAAAAAAAAAAAGATGTACTAAGCATCAATGATTGTTCCACTCCGAGCTTACTTGCTCTAGCACCCCATTTAAAGGAACAGTGTCATAACCGCTGGCTAGAACTTCTGTCCAGCTACAAATATGCATCCTCTTCATTTAATTACACCTTGCTCATGCACCAGTGGTCATGCCCCAGCAGCTTGTTTGAAGGGGTCAGTGCAAAAATTTAATCGTCAACATGCAAAAGGAACTCCAAGTGCATTTATGTTTTTGTCTTTAAGTTACTTGTGCCAAAAATAAGTTGTCCATATACAGTTAAAGTCAGAATTATCCCCCTTTGAATTTTTTTCTTTTTTAAATATTTCCCAAATGATGTTTAACAGAGCAAAGAAATTTTCACAGTATGTCTGATAATATTTTTTCTTCTGGAGAAGGTCTTATTTGTTTTATTGTGGCAAGGACTAAAAGCAGTTTTTAATTAAAAAAAAACATTTTACTTTCAATATTATTAGCCCCTTTAAGCAATTTTTTTGACAGTCTACAGAACAAACCATCGTTATACAATAACTTGCATAATTACCCTAAACTGCCAAGTTAATCTAATTAAGCCTTTAAATGTCACTTTAAGCTGTATAAAAGAGTCTTGAAAAAATATCTAGTCCAAAATAGTATGTGCTGTCATCATGGCGAAGATAAAATAATTCAGTTATTAGAAATGAGTTATTAAAACTATTATGTTTAGAAATGTGCTGAAAAAAACCCCCTGCTCTCTATTAAACAGAAATTGTGGAAAAAATAAACAGGGGGCTAATAATTCAGGGTGTTTAATAATTCTGACTTCAACTGTGTATGTGGAATATCACAACTGCAGAAATCCAAAACTTTAGTCTGTTAAGCTAAGCATGTGCAGTGACTTCTTATGCGGTTGTATGTGAACCAACTTACCGCCACCTACTGTGATGGAGGCGCACAGTAACTCAACAGAGAGAGTCATTCACATGAAGATCTCTTTGAATCAACAAGTTCTCATCTCATTCATTTAATTATTTCTTCATTTAGTTTTAAACAACTAGAATGAATCATTTAACAAAACTAAACTCATTCCATTCTTTTCCATAAGACATATTAGTATTTTGCAAATCGAGCAAGTGGATCGTTGACTTTTTTGAGTGTACAACAAGTAGCTATTTCAGCATATATATATATATATATATATATATATATATATATATATATATATATATATATATATATATATATATATATAATTCACATTTTAGTGTTCTTATTCAAAAACTTTCAGTGTTTCTAGTTTCATCTGCATCTTAATATCATGGTTTGATGGTTCTGTCCTCAACCAGTTTCATCTTTCGCATTCACATATTCTTCCATCTGTGTTTTCCAACCATGGCAATCTTTCCCAACCAGATCATGTATGTATTGTTATTTGCAAAAATTTGTGACATGGAGGTTGATATGAAATGTCATTCCATGAAGGGACCTGTGAGACGGGCCAGGAAGGTGGAGGGAGGCATATTTTTTGTAAGTATTTTCAAATGGGTCATGCAGATTTTCATCTCTGCCGTCTCTCATTAACAATCTGTTCTGCTTGGCTCTACTAAACGCATGACCTGTTGACCCACAGTATGGACTTATCCAAACAAATATTGTAATGCATTCCTGAGAGCTCTGCCAAATGGTGCTTTCAGATCATTTGACAGCTATTTTTGTCACGTTAGGTTTTGAGTGTGGAGAAAAAATATTTACAAATCAATGTAAATCTGTGTTATTGGAGATGTAGTGTGTATGTTAAGGTGTTTGACTGAGGCCATTTTTTGTTGTATGCATTATAGATTTAGTTTTTTTATGACTGATGACTTGCTTTCCACAAATTTTTAACCCATCATTGAGTCTATTTATTTACTTGAGTAAATATGTGTACATTTATATTTAACTAGTTTTAAATTTATTTTAAGTAATATCACTGACTAATATGAAAATGTTCATTTTATTTACATACAATACAGTTTCTAAAGTATTATTTTCTGTCTTTTAGTAGATATATTATATGAGAGACTTGCTTTGTTTACCAAATAAGTGGATCTAACTGGATTTGAATTGTAAACATTAAATAAAAGTTAAAAAGGTATTCTATTTAAATTGAATATATTCATTTTTCACATTACAATACTCCCAAAATCATTCACATAAATCCGCAGATTTATTTTAAAACTCTGCGCAGGAAATAGCAAAAAACGTCTACAGATGCTCTCTGGCCCTACTGATGACACAAAAACAAGCACAGAAAAATTGGTTGAATGAGAAAACAAAATAAGTAGCATAACCACATTATTATCACACAATAGCCCTTATGTCCATAACTAAAAATTCTATTTATTTCAATTAAATTCAAGTTTATTTGTTTAGTGCTTTTAGCATCTTTACAAAAGTTGCAAATTATTGCATTACAATCAAAATCAGAAAAGTTAAGGGCATTTTAAAAAAGTGACTGAATATAATAACATTATGTTTTTCATTACAAATGAAACAATCATTTATTATACATATTACTTGAAATAATATCATTCTTGATATGTATTTAATAACTTTAAAATTGAGAGAATAAAATCAAAGAAGAATAAACAATATATTCAGTTGAAGTCAGAATAATTAGCCCGCTTTTGAATTTGTTGGTCTTTTTTATATATTTCCCAAATGATGTGGAAACAGAGCATGGAAATGTTCACAGTATGCCTGATAATAATTTTTCCTCTGGAGAAAGTTTATTTGTTTTATTTCGGCTAAAATAAAAGAAGTTTTTAATTCTTTAAACCCAATTTAAAGGACAAAATTATTAGTCCCTTTAAGTTATATTTTGATTTTGATTAGTCAACAGAACAAACCATCGTTATACAATAACTTGCCTAATTACCCTAACCTGCCTAGTTAACCTAATTAACCTAATTAAGCCTTTAATTGTCACTTTAAGCTGTATAGAAGTGTCTTGAAAAATATCTAGTAAAATATCATTTACTGTCATCATGGCAAAGATAAAATAAATCAGTTATTAGAAGTAAGTTATTTAAACTATTATGTTTAGAAATGTGCTGAAAAAAAAAAAATTCTCTCAGTTAAACAGAAAATGGGGAAAAATAAACATGAGAGCTAATAATTCAAGGGGGCAAAAAATTCTGACTTCAACTGTATAGGAAATTGTGTGGCACGGTGATGCAGTGGTTAGCAATGTCGCCTCACAGCAAGAAGGTCTCTGGTTTGACCGTCGGCTGGGTCAGTTGGGATTTCTGTAAGGAGTTTGCATGTTCTCCCCCTGTTTGCGTGGGTTTCCTCTGGGTGCACCAGTTTCCCCCACAGTCCAATGAGTGAACTGAATAAACTAAATTTTCCATGCTGTATGAGTGTGTGTGAATGAGTGTGTAAAGGTGTTTCCAAATACTGGGTTGCGGCTGGTAGGGCATCTACTGTGTAAAACACATGCTGGAATAGTTGGCAGTTCATTCAGCTGTGGTGACCCCTAAAATAGAGCCTGAGGCAAACAAATTTAGCTATTTACTCTCCCTCAAATCTTTATGAGTTTCTTTATTCTATTCAACACAAAAGAAGACATTTTGAAGAAAGCTAACCACTGACACCTATAGTAGGATAAAGAAATGTGGAAGTTAATGGTTACCAAATTCCAGCATTCCTCAAAAACATAATCTGAAGAGTAAATAAATACAGAATAGTCCATTTTTGGTGAACTACCCCTTTAAATGGGCAGAACTGTTGCAATCCATGGACAATTGGGTCAGACTCTCAACAGCAGGTCAATGTTCACTTTTATTCCTGATCAGTAAAGAGCTTTTAGAGTAAATGTTTCCTTTACCTTTATGCTGAATAATTGAATCCAGGTCTCACTGCTCCAGCCACTTATCCACTTTAATTTTCCTCTAATGCCTCATTTCCACAAGTGATAGCCCCCAGAAACACCCAACCATGAAAACATTCCCCAGACCTGCTCAAACCTCTGTAAAGCAGCGACACGCCTTACCTGCAATAGCAAACTCAGCTACCAATCTGCAGGAAAAGAGACTTTTAAGGCAAGACACTGCAGGTGAAGAGGGTAAAGAAGTCATTATCATCTCAATTATTCTCCAGTTGACTGATTACTTTATTTTACATCACATTTTGGAGTATGTTTTGTATTACAAACTTTCTTAAATATTGCTTAAATATGCAAATGTGGCATTATTTAAAAATATGTGCTGATTTGCATACAGTAGCACAACAATCTGAATATTTGATGAGGTTAGGTTAAAAATAAAAGATTGAAAGATTCTCTTTTCATCACTCCATAGTTCAGAAAACACTGTAAACTGCCTGAAAAACAAACTCAGAATAGATATAGTAGAATGTAAAGCTGCTGAAGTAAAGATTTATGCCAAAGGATGGGAAATTTATTAACATTTTATTTGAAGATACAATTAATTATACTGTTAACTATGACCAAAATCAAACAAAAAGTGCTCAGGGGTAGCTTAATTAATGTGTTGGCGCTCTTCGAGTCGGATATTCATCAGAATAAACAGCAAAAGTAAGTACAAGGCACTCGAAAAATGTGAAAAGAATGTTAAAAAGCCTTTATTGACATGGCTATTCCTTAAAACTGTGCCTATGCCTTTCGGCAAACACTTGCCTTTATCACGGTAACCAAATGATTAATAGTTATTAATGTAGTAGTTGGGTTATTAAAGATATAGAATAATATAATGTGTACTTTTTAAGTACAAATAAACAACCAATATCTTAATAATAGACAGGTAATAAGCCACTATTGAAGAGCCCCTATTTTGCATTATAAAAGGTCATATTTTGGTTTGGTGGTCTCCAACAACAGGCTGATATACATGCAAGATCAACAAACACTTGTTATGTCTTATAACATGCATTAATTTTTACCTGATTATCCCAAAGACTTCCATATGATTTGTTCATGGGTTCATTTGTTCCCAAAGCCCTCCTTAGCGTGAAGCTAATCTGCGCTGATTGGTCCGATAATCCAGTCTGTTTTGATTGGTCAACTGGGTTCAGCATAGACATAAACACCCACCATGGCTATGAAGTAGCACAGAGTATATGTGTGATCCGAATGCAGGAGTGCATTAAATCAATGCAGTTAAACACCAGCATATTACTCCACTCTTAAACCTAACCCCAAGTAATAACAGCGACACACATTCAGTATTAATCCACACATGCTGTGGCAAAAGTTGAACTATTATGAAAATTGACTGTGTCGCTCTTGTGAGAAACAGCTGATGGCGGCCATAGCAAAGATAAGCGGCAGAGGATCACGAGTTCAGAAACACATTTCAATCGCTAAAGGAAGAAGCATGTGTCACCTTTTTCAAACCGTGCAGAGTGACAACACAATTAAACACATTTTTGCAAACAGGCAAAAACTTTTAATTACATGTTATGATCCAGAGGAAGAAGAAACTGGTCCATATGAACTCTAATAGTTACTGACAAAGTCCCTGTCAAAGTCTGACAAAGTCCTATACATAATAGTCTCTGCTGCTCCTTTCTTCAATAGGGTATATGCCGAAGCATGCTAATAGGACTTTTAATTTGCCACTCACCTGGGTTAAGCGCTTCCAGCGAATTGTATGCCAATGCAAAAACCGGCACGTCTTTTTTCTATAAAAATCAGCAATCTCCACTAGCTGAGTGTTGTCTGATAAAAAGTAGGTCTCAGATTGTACAAGAAGCACTGCACTAAATTACATTTTCCCTCACCATGTCTTTATAATATGAGCATTTATTTTACCCTTGTATATTCAATGGAGCTTCTGCACTAGCCTGCCGATTCTGACGGGCGCGTGCGAGTAAACGGCTTTTTGTCTCATTTTATGCTTGAGCAACTAAATGAATGGCTAAGTTTATTTAACTGAATGTATTTTAATGACAATACAACATCAATGCTGTAAAAGGAACCATATAAAATGGAAAAAAAGTTCACAATAATGCTGTGTTCACACCAGACGCGGAACGCGCGGATAAATCACGCTATTCGTGCTAAAATTGCCGCGTGAACATTTGAGTTTACTCGCTTCATTCGCGCGTCAAATCCTGCTTCATTCGCGTGTCAAATTCACTTCAGAACAGACGCGGATTCGCGTGATGGGCAGGGCTTCTGTCTGCCCGAAGACTCTAGCTTCATGGCTAAATGGCTAACATGTATTTTATGAAGAAAATAACAGTGTTTATGTGCTTTATGAAGACTGAAAAACAGCGTCGATACATTTAGGGTCAAGTCTGAGTCCACTACATCCTTTCAGAGGTGCATCCAGGTCTGTGAGCTCATAAACTCCTCCAGAAGCTGAACCTGGATGACGGAGGCTTTCAGCGGTGCTTCATGCTGCGTTCACACCAGACGCGGAACACGCGTCAAGTGCGAGTGATTTACATGTTAAGTCAATGCAAACGCGCGAATAGACATCCTGCTACGCGATATGAGCGAATGATGCAAATTGCGCGGGGCA